ACTTTGCCACATAAGCGTGGAACTTACTCAATATCTTCCCAAGGTAATAAACGAATTTTAAATAAATAGTTTTCAGTTTTAACACGAGTATAACATTAAATCTACAAGTACCGGTTAGGCCAAAAAGTTAAAGACTCGCAAAGACCATAGTTTTGCTACTTTAAATCGCTGCGGTGTACGCAGGCCACAGACCATGATTAAGCTAGGTACACCGCCGCGGTGTACGCAGGCCAAAGTCAATAGTTTCGCTAGGTACACCGCCGCGGTGTACGTAGTGCCAGCCTTTTTAAAATCCTTTTTTTTTTAAAAAATTAAATCGGCAAAACTACGCGTTGGAAACGAAACAAGCATTATTAGCTTGATCCTGTTTATTTTTTTAAAGAAAGGAGTTTTGAAAGTCTTTCTGAAAGGGATGGATTTTGAAACCACTAGATAGGAGATAATGCCTACGCTTAAGATATTCAAGACATCATCGTACGAAAAGCGTTCCAACATTTACTATCATTTATTGGCCAAAGAGTATTGTTCTAAATATAGTCATCGGCGTATTCATCATGTTTTAGGAACTCTCATAACTAAAGTAAGTAAGCGGCGGTTAAAGCAGAACACCTCAGAACGAGAAGTGAAGTAAAGTTTAGTAAAGTACTAAACTTAAAGTTTATATTTTAATTTTAAAACTTTTTAGCTAAACTGGTAGTTTTAACGTATATGAATATAGTATAATATAGTAATAGTTTAACTAACCGGTAACTTTAACTCAGTGTAATTATAACATTAAAAGTCCAATACTAATATTAATATTAATAAGTTACATTTACAGAATTAATTATTAAAATTAATCAGAATAATTATAATCACTTCAATAATTCAAAGTATTTTATTCAATTAATAATTAATACATTTACATATAGTCTAAGTCTAGTTAGTCTAAGTTAGTTATAATTATTAATAGTTACATACTAGTTAACTAGTGACTAATGAAGGTTGGTTATTAATAATTAGTGTACTCACTGTAATAATTAGTGTAACCAAGGCCTCAGAGAGGATTATCTGCTGGAACTTGGAACAAGACTAAAAATGGGCCCCCTCACATACCAGTACACATTGACATAGATGATTAACATAAATTCATTAATGTCAAAATTTATTGAAATTACATTCAAACATAGGCCTTAGCAGGACTTAGCCTATTATTTTATTATAAGTAAGCATAAAAAGCCTTGGCCTTGGCCTTGGGGCCATCCATAAATGATGTCACCCCTTCCAGGGGGTGGTCACATTTTTGTGACGATGACTGCGTGTTCAAGCAATGTGATGTCACATTAAAAACAAAACATGATTGAAAAAAAATTCACTTAATAACATTAAATTACAGCCATTTTTAACTTAATTTTTTTATCCAACAATTAATATTGTTTTATTTTTAAACTATAATCCCTGAGAGATTCAGTACAGGTATTAGAGACCCGAGAAATGGCCTCTGATCAAGTTCAGGGGACCACGAAGGAGGAGAATCGGGCTGTAGTGACATGTTACGACATGTACAGTCGTGAGAATTAATGTCGAAATGTGGAGACGGGAGTCATAAAATTTAGACTAACACGTAAAGTGGGATGGAACTAAAAATAGTTGATGGGGGATGATCTTTGTAAATCTTCTAGTGCACGGACTCTTAACTATTTCCAACTGCTGTATCCCCTCTCAATTTCAAAATATATTCAGCAACCCCCGTAAATAATAATGTAATTAAAAAAATTCAATGATAAAAATTAAAAAATTTAGTTATTGTCATTTTATTTTTTTAATTAACTTTTTAGAAACAATAAAAATATTACTAATACTATACTAATACAAGTAATGCACAATCACAATTCACCAGAAAAAGAATGACTGCTGCTAATCAAAATACATAAAAACGTTTTTTTTTTTAAAGGAGCAACAACTAGCAATGGCAGTGTTACGTACCGTTGTAAAATTAGAGAATTTAATCTCTTATTTAATTAAATGGCTCGTTGACGAAGTACACAACAAAATACCATACCATAAACTAAATACAATAACAAAGAAATGATACCTAAACTAGGGTTATTTATAATTAATAAAATTAAAGCTATTGACTTACAGTAAAATGATTGGTTTGTACCAGTACAATGTTGGCACCTCAAGGGGTGCTTTGACCCTGGTTAAGAGCCACTGTTGTAGGTAAAAGTTTCTGACACAAGTGCAGCAATTCAAAATCCATATTTGAGGAGGTGGGGTTCTAACTATTTGTGAGGATGGACGGAGCCCAAAATCTGCAAAATTTGCGTGATGTCATTTATGGATGACCCCCCCCACACAAGTTGTCACAAGAGAGTCATCAATTTCATATTGTTTATACAAAACTTCTTCTTCCTAGTCCTAGTCCTTCAGCATGTAGCCTCTTTATTTTGCTTTACTCCAAGTTCCAGAGAGTTTCACTTATGCACAAATTAGAAGCCACATGCTTATCTTTACTTTACAACACATAATTTTCCAGCTGTTCCAAAGTTCTAAAATCAAGCTTTTTAAGTTGGACACTTTGACCTCCAGCGTTGCATTTCTTGACTGAATAACCTTGTTACAGATATCAACTGGAACTAATACTTTGTACCATACAAAGCAGACATTGTCAAACAAATGAAGGATGTGACATAAGACAAAGCCCCATTAATCTCTGTTCTTGTTTTGACAGTTAAGTCCAACTCCAAGAGGTATTCCAGTGCTGATTTGATGCCCGGTAGGTGGGCTTCAAAGGGCTTTATACTTTTCATCATGGTCTGACCATCATTTGTCAAACATGTGAATAGAACAGCCAATATACTTCTGGAAGATTTCTCATCGCTGTGTACTAGAGCTAAACAAGTTGTAAACAGTTTGTATAGTTCTAAAGTATGTTATGGCTTCAGAAATGCATTATGCTACATCATTACAAATTAAGTGTGTGGCAGCCTCATGGTGAAAATATAGCTGTTTCTCATTGCTCAAGCATTCTTGCTTGTGCACCTTTAAATTTTCCTACCAGGTTGGCTGCATTGTCATATCCCTGAACATGACAAACTGAAAGTGGAATTTCATGTTTTTTTAATGTTTCTACTATTACTATCATCTGTGCTATGTCACATCCTGTTTTATGGCTTGTCTTGAAAAATTGTAAAAATCTTTTACAAATTTTTACTATTTGTTCAACATGGGTTGAATCTTACGTGGAATCAACATTAACAACAGCAAAGTATTTTGCAGTTTTCCTGCCCTCCAAAATGTGTTTTTTTACAAGGGAGGAACATTCAGCAATTAACTTGTTTTATGAATCGGCACTGAGATAATGTTCTTGGTGTCTTTCTCCTTTTCCTTTTGACTCTTTAATTTGCAACAAACATACTTTTAGAATTGCATCCCAATGACACAACAACTCTGTGACTCCCAGAAAATTTCCATTGACTTTTTTGACAACGTGCTGGGAACTGCTATGGAAATCAAGCATAGGAATCTTACAACATCAGTTGTTCTGTTCATAATGTTGTACCACTTGACAGATTCTGTTTCAATTAATGCCTCCAACAGACTTTCAATGCCTTTGTCAGATGACAGGTGTCTTTCTAGTTCTCGCCAAGCCAGAGAGCACTGCCTATGACTATTGCTTCTGTAAAGTTCTGGTATGCAAATAAATAATTTTCGCAACTTTTTAGCTGGTGATCATCCTATTGTTGATGCAAGTGTAGACTTGGATGCTGAGCTAATGCTTCAACAGATCAAGATTAATGCTATTGTCACAGAAGTCGCTCAACTTTTTATCCAAACTGATTGTAGTTAAATATAACATGAACAGGTTGGCACCACAGCAGGGTGCCCCCAGAAATGGGTGCCACCAAACAAGGAAAGGGGTGACGCATGAGCTTTTTTCACTGGGTAACACCAACCCTAGTGACCAAGGCTAAGAATTGCTTGGATCATTACTGGCCAATGCTTTTGAAAGGCAACTCATAAAGAGTCACATCCCCGGCTGGACCTCTACTTTGTGTATCATTAGTATGAGACACTGGCTGGACGCCTTCCCACAGACTAATTTTATGGCCTCGTGATAGCCTAGCTCATAGTGCCCCACGCAACTTGGGGATTGTATGTGCCAATAGGCCGGTGAAGACCCTCTTGTGATTGTCTGTCTACTTGGTTCCATGTAGGTGGGGAGGGGGAACAAAGGAGGCACAGGCCCTAGATCCCAACATTAGGGGAGATCCTAATTGTCATGACACTCAACATAAAATAGTTAATGCTCAAGGAATGGACAAAAATCGCCTTAAAATTAATGAAAGAAATATCATAAATTTGCTTACTTTATCCAATGAACAAATGGTGTTATCAGTTTTTTCCCAGGCATACAGGGGAATTTGAAAATTATAAGGGACATGTGACAATTTTAGTCTGGACACTTTCTTAAAGTAAACCGCTATCACTGTTATTGTTTTGTCATTTTGTTTTCCACTTTCTTATAGGGAAGTTTTACATTTTATTATTGTTTCCATTTCTAATGGGTAGCTATATAATGTATTTTATAATTGTTTCCCTTTCTTACAGGGAAGCTATAAATTTACTAAAGTTTGGGAAAAACATTCCAAAAAGCACATAGCATGTGATGGGTGAGTACCTTGTAGAAACCTTTATTATATGTAGCAAACTTGACTAAATCAACTTGCTTTCTAGAGTAAAACTGCATATATAGACACAACTTGCACTCTGTACATCTTTTCTTCATCTCTCACCCTGCATAATAACTACAGATCCATTACAACAAACATCATTTCTCATACCCAAAAACATCATCAGTTAAATTCACTTAGCAACAGTTACAGAGCAAATCTTTGAACCAAATACCTCACTAAATAATCAAATATTACAAAACACAAATCAAAACAAACACTCAAGCAGCAAATCATTAACATGCAATTCATACATCATTGGTTTGAAAATAAATGCATTTGCTAGGAATGTTTAAAGGATGTATGCTATACAAGTCATAATTTTTTATTGGGATATTTACTAGTATTTACAGATTCAATAAAAAAAATAATGTAGATATTGAAAGTTTTCTCTAAGGTAGGACAAATATCAACAATGGGAAAGCAACTGCTAATAACAGTATTAAAAAATCACAGCCAATTCCATATTAACTCCATGTACAAGTTTTTATTTTTTCTTCACCAGAAGATTTGCATTCTTTGACAATTATGAAAAGTGTATAGATTGGTAAGAATGAAGCCCACCTAATTTTTTAATACTTATGATTTCAGTAGTTCTTGACAATGATTGTATATTAAATAACTCAATACTTTTAATTTGGAACCTCTCTAATAAATTTGATTTAAAATTTACCATGCAGTATCATTCATTGTAATTGTTTTAAAGTGAAAAAGACATACTACTGTTACAATGAAATTTGTTTCCATTATGATTTCCAATTAGAATAAAATAGATCCATTCAATCTTCTTATGCGCGTGAAAGTAATTGACACTTTATTTCTTATTTGCAAGAAATTAAAGCATTTAAATTATCATTAATTTTTATAAAATCCACATCTTGTTGTATGCAACCAAAGTTACAAGAATATATTTCCTCATGGATTTTAAAATGAAACACTAAAATAATGTTATCAATTTCTTTAAAAACCAAGTTTTTATTTGAATGCATTCTTTTCCAGTGCAAATCATCACAATAAGGCAGTGGTAAAATTTAATCTTCCCAAGAAATCCTGTTGTAAAATTGAAGATGCCATTCTTATGGAAGGTACCCCCGTAAGTAGAATTAAAAGTCTTCAAATAACCATACAATTTCACAAGATTGTTTGGAAAACCATAATGTTATATTTTAATCATCTTTTGTTGATTATTTCGTTTTTGAGTTTTCTTATATTTACTTATTCAGTTATGTTTGTGATGTACAGTAAAGAAAATTTTACTATGTTTGCATTCTTATTTTGATATAAAAACTGTTCAATAATGTCAATAATTTCTTTACCAGGAAACAGTGAGTCTGCCACACAAAGGATACAGAGGCTGTCTATTAGCACTGAATAACAAAAACCTATTAATTCGAATTGACATTGAAAGTGGTCATATTTTGGAGGAAGTTTATGTTGGATCCACTCATTTAAAATTTCGGTTTGTCCTAGAATCTTGAAAAAAATGAAATGTAAACATCTTATGCTTTTAATACCTAGACTAAACCATTATGTTATAATCTATTTTTATTAATACCACTACTTGATTTTTGTGGAAATGTGCTTTATGTTCATTTCAGGAAAATTCTCTGGAATGTTTTTGATGAAAGCTTCCTTTTGTGTTCCAACAAGTTGCTGCCATCTGAACGTCAGGTCAGTCATTATTTTCACAATTGACATAATATAAGGAAAGAAATTATCAATTTTTAAAGACTTTTCTCCAAAAGAAATTATGTTACTTTCTATTATAATATAGCGTTTTTTTTCATTGAATTTCACTTATCATTTAATGACAAAGTGCTTAATGTGTCTACAGTCGAGTCATTCTCAGCCCTTCATGCAATTGGTGGTAATGTCCTGTATGCCCCTGGATTTTATATGCAAATTTCCTCTCACCAAACAAGTATGTTTATATCTGCTTTCAAAAGTTTCTTAAGAAATCATGGACATTTGGAATAGTCTTATATTAAATACATCTCTAGAAATATAAACTTCAATTTTAATCAGGAATATTTAAGTAGTTGCAGTAATGGTTCACTGATTTAAATGACATATTTATAGGCTAAATTAAATATATTTCTAGAAATATATACTTAACTATCAAGCCGGGGAAATGAGAAATAGCAGTAATGGTTATTAGATCAAAATGATATTTGTACCGGTACACATTAAATATGACCATTTGATTGCATCATGTTAATCTTGACAGATTTTTGGCAAAGATGCTTGCGGTGCCTCAATTTCTCTCAATATATTGTTTGTGATGCATTCATCAAATCATGTACGAATGTATAGCTTAGAAAGAATTATGTCAGAGGTGAGCCTTAAGTGAAAGTGGATTTTATTGGAAAGTTTAGTGTTTGAAAATGACATCATTGATGATTTCAGAAGACTCAAAGCAAGATTTTTAAAAGTTATTGACTGTAAATTGTAAAGAAAAAATGGAGAATCCTCATTTTTCAAAATGACTAAATTTGTTACATCTTCTTTACTTGTTTAGGAAAGATTGGAGGTATCACACTGTTGAATGGTGTTGTCAAGTTTTACTTGATCTAGTCAATTTAATTGTTATATTTATCAAGAATATGCATCTTCAAAACTTTGACAGTCACTTTGTCCTTTTTATTATATTTTCTGTTTTGTGTTGCCGTGATTATAAACTATTGTTGTCTAAGTTCAGAGCCTAACACACAGTCATAAATTGTATGATGTACTGCCAGGAGGTGAACAGTATGGTGTCTATCCTTCATGTCTAACTCAAAATATCACACTCACAGGTGAAGTTTGGCTTTGTTTACAGTAACCTTCATGCCATGCACAAATATTCTAAACAAAATTAATGATATTTTACAGAATCAATTTATCCTTTACGTTTTAACAGATTTACCAAGGCAGAAACGCTTATTTACCAAACTTAAAACGCTTATACCATCGTAGCATTATTTTATGATTTTTCTCTTGGTCAGCTCCGCCACCTTGTTTGTTTGAAGTACAATGTCACAATCATGATGTTATGTTGACAATGCCACCCATTCATTATATTATGTCTCCATATGGGTCTCGATATCAACGAGGCTACTATGTCTTTTCATTTGAAAATCGTCAGATGGTTAGTGAATACTTTTAAAAAAAATTATTTTCTTTTCTCCCTCTATCTTATTATTCTTATTTGATTTATTTCTTTTGTCTTACCAAGATTGAGACTTTGACTTTTAAAATTTTTGAAAAGCAGAATTAAAATATATCCCATTAAAAAAATGTATGCAGCCTGGATGCAACCTGACTGTTGCCCTGGGCAGCCTTAGTTGCCTATAATTCTCTGAGTTTCTTTGAAAGACTTGCTCACATAATATCTCACCATTGATTGCCATAAACTTGTTGATGGAGCTTTAAAAAGCCATGTGCTTAAGTCAAAGTCCACTTGGGCAACTCAACACTATCACACTTGAAATAATTATAGCTCAAACATTACTATAGCTCATCATTTTATATTCATTATTTTATTTAAAGTTAGCTCTATACAGTTTTACTTTGTAAAATTTCTATTTCAAATCTAGTAGAGTAGAGTCTAATCAGAGAATTTAAAACATAGGTTTGATTTTTTAAATTTTTTTGTTTACTTTTTAGAATATTTTAGATGATTTTATGCAATTTTTTAACATCAAAGGTTCAGCTATAGTTAAAGTTAAACAAATAATAAGTCCCATATAAATAACAAAGTTTTAATTTAATTTTTTTTAAAGTTAGGTTGCAATTTCTAGTCAGATATCTAAACATATTAGAGCTGATTTGATCTAATTCTTGCAATCTTATTATATATAATTCTTAGACTCATACTTACAATCTTATTATATTCAATTCTTATAAGATTAAATTATTATGATCTATTAGGATCTAATTCTTGCAATCTTATTGGATCCAATTCTTGTGATCTTAGATCTAATTTTTATGATCTTACTTAAAAGATATCATTTTTACAATCCTATTATATCTAACTATTATGATCTTTTTGGATCTAATTCTTATGATCTCATAAGATAATTGTTACAATCCTGCAAGATCTAATGCTTATGCTCTATTTGGTTCTAATTATTATGTTCTTATTCTTATTAGATCTAATTCTTATGACCTTATGGTATCTAATACTTACAATATTATAAGATCTACTTATTATGATCATTTTAGATCTAATTCTTACAATTAATTGGATCTTATTCTAAGTGATTCTTACTATCTGATTGCATATAATCTTTACTTAATTGATCTAATTATTACAATCAGATATGATTCTTCTATTTAATATGAGATATAAAATAATTCCTAGGCTTATTTTATGTAATTAATAATATTTGACCCAACAAAAGAGCTTAAGAAATAATTATATCATAAGCTTTTTCTGTTTTTCAAAATTTTAAAATAACAGATTATATCAATGTCAACATTTGCCATTCAATGTATAGTTTTATTATATTTAATTAAGGTAAAAGGTGGATTTCTTGAACCTGAAACAGATGAGATCGATGACAGGGTCTGTTTACACGCTGATGACTCAGGGAGGATAATCCACATGAAGAATAAAGAACTGAAGTATGAAACTTAATCTTAGCATCTGTTATTTTAAGAAATTCTATCCAGGAGACCTAACATATAAATAGGTGACTACAAAGTACTCCCTAGTTTTGCACTAATTTATCAAGGCAAAGGTGGTACTGTCAACATTATCATTATGGCTACCAAGAGTTAGAGGGGTTCAAATTAGTCAGGGATCCTTAAAAGCAATGGATAAATAGTAGGTTGGCATTGACACATGTAAGGCAACTATTCTTGGGGAGAAGGTAAATCCTGACAGATAAAAATCTGGATGTTGAATTGGGAAATAATGTGTGTTGTTCGGGAGTCGACCATGACCACTTTAATCATCAGAGTTGGTGCTGGTTCTGTCTGTGGGTGCGCATATGGCTAATGAGGCTGATTCGGGCACGAAATTCTCTTGTGCAGTAGGTGCAGGGGAATGTTGGCGCATCTCCGGGAGCAGAGTCAGACCGGGCCTTCCTGGCATGTCTCTTTTGCTCTGCAGCCGCTGTTCTGCCAACTTCATGTTGCATGGAACTCCTGTGCAAAGTTGAATGCCATGAAGTTTGATCCTTTGCTTGTTCCTCCCACGTGTCTGGGTTTATGTTGAACGCTTTCAATGAGGCTTTTAGGTTGTCTTTAAAGCGTTTTTTCTGTCCGCCAACAGACCGCTTTCCTTGTTCAAGCTCACCATATAAAATTCTTTTGGGAAGACGGTCATCTGACATTCTCACAACATGTCCCGCCCAGCAAGGCTGGGACTTCATTAAGATGGTGAAGATGCTGAGGAGACCTGCAGTGTATGGGACCCTGTCCTGCCATTTAATATTGAGGATTTTTCTGGGTCTTGTTGTATGAAAGTTGTTCAGCATTCTTGTTGAATTGGGAAATAATAGCTTGCTCTAGTCAGAAGTAATGGATCATCCTGGTGCATAACATAGTACAACTCAACATGGTACATCCATCTTAAACCAAAATACAAACAGGAAAAATATAATATTATAGAAAATATCCTCCGATGTAACATCAGGTACAGCATTTCTAGGAATTTATCAACATTAAAAGAAATGAAAATTTCATGAGTCCAATAATCACAAGGAACATGGTAGTTTTCTTTAAAGAAATGAAGGACTGTGTTCAAGCTGTGGGAAGGAAATTGCTGAAAATTTATCTTTAAACTTGAAATGAAAGAACATGACTATTTTCCCATTCTCATTTATTGTCCTGTTCTATCACTTCCAGCCTCAGTAACCTTAGCTTTGTTTCAAACATTTCTTTAAAAAAATAAGTACTTTCAAAAACAAATAATCATTCAAACATGTTTTATTTTAATTTTAGGATTTTAAAATTACTTAAAAAGAATGAAAGCGACAATGAAACAGAACTTGTGGAGGACTTTATTATTAGCTGTGGCAAAGATGCAAAGGTAGATCCATATTGCCAGCTCATCTTTAAATAGCTAATTCCATTTTCACATTTGCTGCCTAATACATTTTCTCTTACTATTCCTTAATAATGTTGGCCAAAATGGCTTCTCAGGCTATACGGTCATTGTGCCAACACTGTCTGACTGACAAGTCATTGACTGCTTACTGTGCCAACACTGTCTGACTGACAAGTCATTCACTGCTCTGCTTATTGTGTCAGCACTGTGTGACTGACAAGTCATTCACATGTCATTGTTAACAATGGATAACAGCAATCTTGACATGTTCCATGTGCATTTTGTTGCCTACAGAGAATATTTTTGATAATTGTATGGATTGGATAATATTTAAACTAACAACTCAATAATGGTTTTCAACAGACAAGTATCAAGTTTAGTGGGGGGGGGGCTGGATATCAATATATATAAGGTGATGAGGTGGGGCATGGGTAATAAAAAGTTTTGGAAACACTGACATTAATCTTGTCTGTCCTCTCACTTTCAACATTTGATCAGCCCGTTAAATTGAAATACATACAAATATGTTGTTATTATTGATTTTTTAATATCATCCTTAGATTTCTCCGTTCCCTACTGTAACTCAGTCAGGTAGAATCATTAGGCCTCGGGTGAGAGATAGCAGCGTTGAGATCACAGAGCGGGTCAGTTTTTCAATTATTGAGCTAAATGTGCTTACTTTCATACTTAGTCATTTCAGTGAGGTTAAGTGTGTAAGAAAATCTAGTTTTCTCTCTGGCCATTTTGTACTAGAGCCTTGCTTTTGGACAATGTTTGACTAGGTAGTATAATCAGATTTTCATCGTGGATTAGTTAACACTTTATTTTTAGGAAATTTATTTTCAAAATTTAATATTTAAATATGTAGGTGTCATTTATTTTAGACCAATCAATCAATTTATGAAATTTTCAGTGTCATTTTTAGTAATAGAAATAATGATAAATATAGATGAAGTGTTCCATTTTTTTTAAAAACTTTATTTTGATTAATAATAATTTGAGCACATGCTTAATCTTTTCCTTATGGACATGTTATTGTGATGGTCAGTCTGTGTTGGCCATGATGTACAGTGATGAACTAGATATGATCATTGTTACATCCACTCCAAATCCAAACAGAGAAATTGGAGACAACCCTAGTTGTACTTTGGTTGGCTTCTATGACAATTGGAATGGAACTTTATGTCGACAGTTTGAAATAGAAAAAAATACTATAGAGGTAATAGACTTTATTCTGCCTATAATGAATGTAATGTGTCATAAAGGTAAGTAATGAACTTGCAAAATACAATATGTAACACACCGGTGTTGCCACTTATCATTAACTTTTAACTTTTACTTTAGTTATTGAATTTAGAGATTCTTATATAATTTAAGGTACCTTGTCATAAATTAAAGGCTACTTGTACTTGTATTTTGCTCTTAATTACTGAAATACAACATAGATTCATACTACTCATAGTTTAAATGATATTCAGCTTTCAATTCAAACAGTTTAAAATTATGAAATTTAACATTTCTGAATTATACAATTTTACTTTTTTGACATTATTTAAATTACCAATTAAAATTGATAAATTGTCTTTCCAGACGCTGGAGCGCTCTGTGTGTTACAACCTGGATACTTTAACACATGTGTTCAAGACAGTTGATGGTTTGTTTAAATGTAATGTGTTTAAACTCCAAGCAGTTCCAGACGCAGAGGATCTGCCAAGTGGAATGAGACGAAGATGACAATTTCTGCACACATTCTCTATATTTGTTGATTTCTGATAATAAAATTTGTATCATACTGTGTATGCTTCTTGATTTTAGTATTTAAAATTTATTTGAAAGACAGAAATAAGTTATTTGTTAGGGCTGTGGCAAACCATTTAAAGGCAATTGATGGTAAATTATAATATCAGAGCAACCTCGTTTGAAAATGGGATGGTTTGTCAACACCATTACGAGGACAAAGATATAAAAATTAAATAAAAAAGTGATAAAATGAATTTAGATGTTAAAGATTCAAAAACACCATCATGTGTATATGTAGATATATGTATGTGTATGTATGGCATCTTTCCGTCTGCGGGAGACGATAGATTATCTTTATTGCTTGCAGCTCTTGGTGTGGCTGGTGAAACCAATCCTCAAGTGGCAGTCTCTGTTGCATTTCCCACACACGAATGCGGTGGAGCAGTATTTACCGGCCTTCCTCCTCGCTCTTTTTGCAGCTGTTTCCGCCCTGTTTTGATCCTCGGCATGTAGTGATCCTGCCTTCACGATGCCTCGCCATGAGGATCGATCCTCTGCCAGCTCCTCCCAGTTTGAGTTCAGCATGAAATTAATTGGTGGATAGCAAAAAGCGATCAGTGGATCTGTCCTCAAACCATTTAAATTTAATTCACAAGTTACCACCATATTTCAGTTTTTTCAATCAAACTTTGGCTTTAATTTAAAAAGCTAAAATAGGGTACAGGTATTTAAACAATAATTATTATTATCCTATATTAATATACATATTCAGAACTTTAAAAAAAATAAAAGTATGCTGAGATTTTTATCAATGGGGGGTGCAGAAAGCAGAAATCAAAAGCTTCCGAGTGAAAATAGGGAAGACTGACTGATCCCCTACCCTACAAATTTGTGATGAATGCAAGGGCTTCAATTAAGTGGGTGTCACCTGGTGTGGTAGTCTCATTGTGTCAACACCCCCCCCCCCTCTCACACACCATAACATTTTTACACACAACTTTTCCGTGCCATCCAGCCCCTCCCTTCGACATAGACGAAGTAATTATTTACCAGATCAAACAGAATGCAACATTTTTTTGTAAATAAAGTCCTAAAAAGCAGTTAAAATCTTACTTTCCTAATCTTCAAGGATGCAAATATTTCAATCACTACATCAAAATCAACATTCTTTTCACTTTCAATTGACATAAATTGCAAGACCAGAGAGCCTTGATTACACGAAGACGCAAATGGTAAGATATAATTGTAGGCTTAATGAATGAGAGGATGGAAGAGAATTCACGAAGTACCATGTATGCCAAAACTTCAAATATATTAATCAATTGTTGGCTTGGTCAAGATTAATATCTGCTACTTTCAGTTGCCTTTACTTTCAGTTTCAGAATGGAAATCATTTTATCATCTTCAATTGCCAATAATTATTGGCTCTTATCTTGAACAGCCTCGTAAATATCTGTGCTAATTCTTTATACTTTATGAGTCTTCATATTATCTAGAGTTTAGAATGAAAACGATCAATACCCTAAAGGATTGTCCACTTAAATTATTAAATAGTAATGCTGTTTTATAATTTTTATCTAAACTTTGTATTACAATATTTATACATTAATTAAAATAAAAGTTTTTTTTTTTTTAAATCAATATATAAAAGAAAATAATAATCCTGATCTCATGAAATGTCTAGTCTAGTTTTTATCAGCTTGTTTTGTTTAACCTCACTACTTTGGTTTTTCTTCTTAACAGCACCATTATTATGCCATATATTTATTTGAACTGAATATGAATTAAACAGGAATTATATAATTTAGCCAATGAGCAATGAGTTTCCGTCTCAAATAGCCTAATTAGGAGGGCCTAAGTAATAATTCATCGAAAATATCACTATTCGCCATGACTTTTTATCAGTTAATTACATTTTACTCGCTTTGTCGTGGAGGTACCGAAAATGCCACCCCTCACATAATCAGATATATATATTCTTTCTAAAAGAAAGTGTCGTAGATTTTTGCGCCCCCACCCCCCACCCCTCTTGATGTTGGCGACCCGGGGGGGGGGGTGGGATCACCTTCTCCACCTTCTCACTATCATGTATTTACTGTGGCCTATAATAGATGGCGTTACGATGTAACAAGATAAACTCCACAAACTTTAATTTTTACAAAAAAAAAATAAATAATTTAGACATTCAAGAAGATTTTTAATAGAAAAATAACGGGAAAATAGGGAAAATCTTAAATTATTTGGCTTTTTATTTTTATATTTAGACTATATATCTGAATTGTTTTCATTAAAAATATACATTTTTTTTAACACATACATTGTCACAATTAGTGATTGTCAGTCATTGTTGAGGTACTATTGCGGCTTCTCTAGCTAGCGTTGTTTCAGTGATGATTGAAAATGCCGAATGAGAAAGAATAAAATAAAAATTCTACTTGGTAATAAAAAAAAAAAAAAGATTTCGGCCTACTAGATTCTTAAAAGGTATTTACTCTCTTGATGAGTTTTCTTGGCCTTGTTGATTGAACATTTCTCGCCCAAACGCCCTGGCATAGGGAATTCCCACTGACACGCGTTGATTGAAAGTGAAAGTACGTCAACTGACATTGTGATTGTTTTGTCACTTGTCGGTCCAACCTGCATGTGACTGAGGTAAGGTCATGTTTAGGTTCTAAAAATTCTGTTCAGCGCGTCTTAAATTTTAATTATTAAATACCGGATACACAATCTTCATTAAATTTAAAGAAAATACCAAAACTAGATATTCAGTAAGTAGAGTTGTTGTAACTGTAACTGTAGTTCAGTAGTTACATTCTCTACTACTAGTAGTAGTAAGTAGGCTTAAGTAGGCCTACTGATAATGAGTTAAGAGAAGGGGCCTATAGTCGGACAACATCCGGACTCTGGTGGACTGTTTACACCACATACCACATATAGTAGTTGACTGAGTTAGAATTGTGAGTGTCGTGGTCGTGGATCACCGTACCGTGGTTGTGGTGCGTAATAATATCAGTTAATTAGTATTATAATAACGAAATACAATAGTAAATAGTAGATCTATTTATATGACTAAATGATTATATGTTGTTTTTTTTAAATGTTGAATTAACACTGAGACTTAAAGTGTATGTCTTCTCTTCACTCTTCATTTCTAAACATTGCTTCTTAAAATTCTTATCTGTGCAATTGCAATTGAAATTGTATTACAAATTGTATTACAAATGAAACTCTATTTACAGAAATATCTCTTGAACAGATATATTGCTGTGAAAACCCCCTAGACTTTTTAACATTTTAAAAATCTACATTCTTACAAATCCGCCTTTCTTTATGACTATCATTTGGAACATCCGTAGACTTGGAAGTTTATCTTCATTAAGTCACTGCACAGCTTTGAAAATGTTCAACAAGATGGCTTCTCTCAGCCGTGGCAACTCATCCAACAACCTCAAGAGTGCAGATATAAGTAAGAAAACCCTGGTTGGTGTATGCCAGATGAATGCAACGTCATTGAAAGCTGACAATCTTCAAACTATACTTGACCTTGTGTCAACTGCCAGTGCCAGGGGTGCTCAGGTGGGTCATTTTGGAGTCAGTATGTGAATGTGATTTTTAGCATCTGTTGTGATGAATATAACAATGCTACATAATAGTAATTCAATTTCTGAACATTTATTTTGAAAATTGTTCAGTTTTTGTGAAAAATAATCAGTATAAAAAATTATTTACAAAAATTTACTCAGTGCTTCGACATTGTTCTAACATTTTTGAATACTAGTATTAAAATAATTTGTACTGAGGGCTATTGAATTTGTTTAGAAAACACAGGTCTACTGATATCAACTTCACATATGAGGGCTTTGATTTATTCAACTTAATTTTTGGAGGGTTAAAACAAATTTAAAATTGTTTTTCATGTATTAAGCAAATCCTGAAACATTTCTTTGACATATTTTCCCCACTTTTAAAAAGAAAATAGATTGAGCTTGTACTAGTCCCTAAAATAGTTATTTTTATTTTAGCTATAACTATGGAGAAAAAAAGCTCAGTGCTCTGTCTCCACTTCAGTCCGCTGTTTGCATTATGTACTTTAAACCTTTTTTTTTAAAATATGGCTTTAATGTAGAAGTGTGTCCAAATGAAATATTTTATAAAAAAATTATTACTTACACTAAATTGAAGTAAAACGATTGAAATTTGGGACTGTATTTAATTATTCCCACTCACTGATAGCAACAGCAATTCACACTAGAGGCTTGATTTTTTTAAAAAAGTTTCTGGTTTACATGTGAAATTTACCAGAGTACAGAAATAATGTTTTTATAAACTTGGTTCTTATGGGTATTTTGTATGATAAAACTGTCTTTTAACTAACTGCATACTCAGATGGTGTTTTTACCGGAAGCATGTGACTACATTGGAGAGTCAAAAAACCAATCATTAGAGTGTTCTGAGCCACTTGATGGCAATTTCATTCACCAGCTCCAGAAGGCAGCAGTTCGATCTAAAGTTTGGCTCTCTGTTGGAGGTTACCATCAAAAGGTTAGTTTATTTAATGTCATCTATTTAATAACATTGCAATTAAATCTTTATGTCATTTATTACATAACATTACCATTAAATCTTTATGTCATTTATTGTGTATAATTACCAATAAACCTGTATGTTATTTATTAGGTAACATTACCATTAAATCTCTTCTATTTGTGATAATTATCTCTTACTTGTGGCATCTAATAGATCATCTTGCTGAGCAAAGTCAGTCATAATATTGGTTATTCTTAGATTATGGAATGTTCAGTTAGAAAACATTTGTTTTTCTGCCTGAATTTCTAAATATATGTTGCTTTTGACAGGGTCCTGATAATGAAGAGAAGCCAAAACTAATTAACACACACATCATTATTGATAATGAAGGTAAGATTAGGGCCACCTATGATAAGACTCACCTTTTTGACTTGGATATTGGTGGCAAAATTCGTTTGTGTGAAAGTGACTATGTCATTCCAGGGAGTAAAATTGTTCCTCCAGTCGACACCCCTGTTGGAAGAATAGGTTTGGCCACTGTATCCTTGCAGCTTAGTCTTTATCTCCCCTGCCCTAGTGTTACGTCTTGGAATCAGTTTATCAGATCTGTTTACTCTTACGATTTTGGCGTACAATGTACGATTTTCAGGTTTATACATTATATATACTGTATGTTTTTTACTATTAAGATAACGTATTGAACAATTTTGTGATAATATTGTATGATTTTAAGAGTTTGAGGGTAAACAGGTCTGGTTTATTAATGATTTTTTAATTTAAAGAATTAGAACTTATTTCTATAGATCAATGCTTAACTGTGACAATCTGTTTTGATGGGTAATATTGAGAAATAATTTGAACTATATAGGGAATCAGTTTGTCTAGAATACTTGTAAAATGAAGCCAGACATTAATATAATATTTAACATAATTGAAAGATTTTTTGTTTATTATTTTTGCTATAATAATTTTTGTTAAGGACACATGACAAGTTTTTAAAAAACTAAATTAATGTAATGTTTCCAGAACTAAATTAAGTGCAATATCTACTGTACTAAATAAAAAATGTAATGTCCCTGAACTAAAAAAAATGTTACTATTTTTCTTGAATTTAATAAAAAGTGTTAGATTTTTTACAATTTTCCTGAACTAAATAAAAGTGTTATGACATGAGATTTCCTGAACTCTCCTTGGCCCTTGTACAGCAAGGGGCACAGATTTTAACATACCCATCAGCCTTTACACAAACAACTGGGATGGCACATTGGGAGGTTGGCATTTAAAATTGATATTATCTTACATCAGTAATACGTGTTAGTCAATTATTCCTAAATCAATTTAAGGCGCTTTTACATTTATTGAAAGGAATGGGAAAACAAAATTAATTAAATTTTTTTTTTCAATCTTAACTTTAGAAGTATCTCACATATTTTAAATTGTCTGTTTAAAGAATATTTTTCAGCTTCTTATGTTGTAATAATTGATATGTTATGATGTTAAATTTTAATTTGGTGCCTGATATCTCCTGGGTCTCCAGTGTTTATTAAGGGCGAGGGCCATTGAAACTCAATGCTATGTTATTGCTGCTGCACAAACAGGAAAACACAATGCAAAGAGATCTTCTTACGGTCACGCCATGGTAAGAATTCATTAGCATGCTTTTAGCAGACTATTTTGTGTCGACTACATTTCCTGTTAACTTTTTATTATATCCCAAAACTGTGAATGAATCTAAGAGCCAAAAATAACTTCTTCATATCTTTAGCCAGCGAAGTCCTTGTTAATGCTGTACTTTATTTTTGTTTAGGTTGTGGACCCATGGGGTGCTGTGATAGCTCAGTGTAGTGAAGGTGCTGGGGTGTGCTTGGCTGAAATTGATCTGGATTATGTGGCCAAAATCCGCAGTGAAATGCCAGTGTGGCAACACAGACGGACAGATTTATATGGACGTGTAATATCACTGGACTCAGATGCCTCAACAAGTGAGATTGTTTCAGATATAGTTTGTGAATGATATCAGTGAGATTGTTTCAGATATAGTTTGACTGATACCAGTGAGATTGTTTCAGATATAGTTTGTGAATGATACCAGTGAGATTGTTTCAGATATAGTTTGTGAATGATATCAGTGAGATTGTTTCAGATATAGTTTGTTAATGATACCAGTGAGATTGTTTCAGATATAGTTTGTGAATGATACCAGTGACATTGTTTCAGATATAGTTTGTGAATGATACCAGTGAGATTGTTTCAGATATAGTTTGTGAATGATACCAGTGAGATTGTTTCAGATATAGTTTGTGAATGATACCAGTGAGATTGTTTTAGATATAGTTTGTGAATGATACCAGTGAGATTGTTTTAGATATAGTTTGTGAATGATACCAGTGAGATTGTTTTAGATATAGTTTGTGAATGATACTAGTGAGATTGTTTTAGATATAGTTTGTGAATGATACCAGTGAGATTGTTTTAGATATAGTTTGTGAATGTTTTATTTGTGTGTAACTTTACTTGGACATTGACATTTACTTGCCTCATTTTCTGCTTATGATTTTTTTAGCTATCATTTCATATTTTGTAATCTTGAAAATTATTCTTAGATACCGCTAACAAATTTTCATCTTGTTATGTTGTGCAACCTAATAAATAGTTATTTTTTTAAATTTTCATAAGTAGAATTTTATTTCATGGAGTGAGGACTGCCACCCTCTGTTAGATTTATTGTCTGAATCAATGTACTCTCACACAACTAACAAACACAAAGGTTTTTTTTAGTGCAGCTTTAATGCTCATAATTTTTGTACCAATTTAGTTCCCCCAGATGACGACACGACCTACCAATTCGGACATGTCAGGATTGCATCAAGCCAAGTTTTCTACCGCACACGGCTGTCCATAGCATTTGTCAACATAAAACCTGTGTTGCCAGGGCGTATCCTTTCTCAAGTTTTTTTGTCATTACCTTTATTTCAGGCCTGTTTATAATTACCTTTATTTCAGGCCTGTTTATAATTACCTTTATTTCAGGTCTGTTTATAATTACCTTTATTTCAGGCCTGTTTATAATTACCTTTATTTCAGGCCTGTTTATAATTACCTTTATTTCAGGCCTGTTTATAATTACTCTTATTTCAGTTAGTTGATAATTACTCTTATTTCAGTTAGTTGATAGGCGCAACAATTAATTGATTGAATATTTGTATAGGACTTTAACAGTGGAGTTTCATGAGGAGGGGAGGGGGCTAGTATTACTGTATTCTATATTTAAGTTATGCATATAGTTTCTTGATATACTTTCTTGACCAGTAAACCAGATGTTTTGGTCACGCCTATTGGAAGTAATGCATATAGTTTCTTGATATACTTTCTTGACCAGTAAACCAGATGTTTTGGTCACGCCTATTGGAAGTAATGCATGTAGTTTCTTGATATACTTTCTTGACCAGTAAACCAGATGCTTTGGTAGCCCCTATCCGTGCGGCTGTTAGAATGACAGACCTGAATCCAGCTGAAGTGACAGATATGTTTTTGACAGTTCAGCGAGTCATTGAAGTATTAAAGAGGCATTTTGATGCTCCCTCATCCACACTTGCTATTCAAGATGGCATGGAGGCTGGACAAACTATTCAGGTCAGTTGCCAGAACTGGCATGTTGGGTGTTTGCATTCATTTTCAATCCATCCTATTGAAGAAAATGTAAGAAGTCTGACTATTGAGACGTGGAGAAGAGTGTTGGAGATAAAACACGTTTACTGTGTCAGTATTTGAATGTGGAGAAGAAAAGTGTTGGACCCAGTGAACGTGTCAGTGGCTGATTTCCTTGATATGCTATCTTGACATCAATTGCTGCTACAGCTTACTTTAAATGCTTTATGACAGTTGGGGAAAACATTTTTATAGAAATTTAGTGTATGGGACCTCAATTTGCAGATTGTAGAATATGTTAATTTATAATTTGTTTAAAAATTGTGTTTTTTTTCCTCTTTCTATCTCAGCATGTACACACTCACATACTACCTAGGAAACGTGGAGACTTTTCTGATAATGATGATATCTATGACCATGTGAGTACATTCAGATGTACCAATTTTCGTGAGCTTTGGTTAGATCAGGGGTTTTGAAAAGCAAGGAAATTGTTCAAAGACATATTTACAAGATCAGCTCCTCAAATATTTAGCTCCAAAAGGCTGGTGTTAAGTTTGTATTCCTTAAAAGGTCTTGGAACTAGCTTAAAATGATGTTGATAAGAAGCCACTGCAGGCATTTCAAATAATCTGACCAACCTAGCATCTGTTCATTCCTTTGAAATAATGACCTAGGATAAAACTATTACTTTTGTCTATAAAGAAATAATTACATAGGATAAAACTATTACTTTTGTCTATAAATCAATAATTAAAATTTCTGATGAAATCATTATTATTGTTTAAAAGTCAATAATAACAAGGACTAATTAAACTACTGTAGGTTACAGTGTATAACACGATACACTTATCAATATGGAACCTTTAAAATGCTGTGTCTGCATATCATTGTTATTAAAATATCAAATCCTTACAACTTTTATAACTTTTAAAATGATCTGTTGTCATACCCATACTACTATGATAATATCCCATCAAGTGAGCACTACTTACATTACTTTCTTTATGATAGGATTCACCATCTATCACAGAGTGTTTCGTATAGATTTGTTTGCATAGGCATAGGTATCTATAGATTGTTTAATACACACCAATAACTTTGAGTATTATTTTTTTACATACCTTTCTTGCATTACATGTCACAAATTTTTGTCCGGGTGCTGCCTTTCCAATCTTACTGAACTTCTTTCTGTCCATTCACCCCTTTGAAAGCTCTGTTCCTCTGCAGACACGCGTATTCTTTCTGTGCTCAGAACACGCACTAAAACATATGGTGAACAATATTTATGTTTCTGGAGTGGAAACAATGAAATTCTCTCCCATTACACATCCACAATATACCGACCATCCCAACCTTCAAAACTATCCTCAAGACCCATCTCTTGAAACTCTACTATACAGACTTATTATCACCCCCCCCCCCCCCCCCCTAACTACTAAACAAAGCTCAATGCTACTGGGGGCTGGACAGGGGTGGATAAAACTTGGGGTGGGTGAGGTCAAGCTTTTTATCAATGGTTGTTTTTAAATGTATCCATTTCTGTCATTGCTAATGTGTGTGTGAAGCCCACTGAGCCTAGCCCTAGGCTGGGGTACTGCGCTATGTAAACCCACCTTAATAATAATAATAATAATAATAATAATTTTATGCTGCAATATACCGTATGACTATTGTGTATTCAGCCTGTCTGATAAAACTATTTTATTGTGTTTAAATTTATGCTACCATTCAATCATGTTTCCACTACAGAAGAGTTTTTCCCCATTTCTCTTTCAGCTCCAGAACCACGATAAAGGATGGACTGAACACACAAAACTTCGATCTGAAGAAGAGATGGCTGCAGAGGCTAAATCATTGCGCTCATATTTCTATCCTTCACCTCCACAAGAAGAGTTGTAAAGATTTTTTATTGTCAGACTTATATTTTGATGCTCACTGCCATCTAGTTCTTTATGGTTGGGAATCACTGAATTTATACGCTCACTTGGTCTAAGATTCCAATAAAAGTATTTTTAGACCTTTAATAATAATCACTTGTATACTGTACATGTAACTGGACTGCCTCTTCATGGTGATGGGTTGATGTGGAATTTTTTTATTGATCAAAGAAAATGTCATTCCAAATAAATATTGGCATCAAAAGGATGTTTTCAAAGCCATGTTACTGACACACAAACAGGTTCATAACCATATGACTGACATATTTTGACAACACACTTCTACAGTTAGTCACTCATAAATTCTATCCTCGAATTGAGCTGTTTAAATGTTCATTCTTTGTACTTGGTATATAATTTAAAAACCATTTCCCATTTTGTTCACTTCTAACATAAAGACCAAATTATCATGTGATTTCAGCATCAAAGTCTTTAGTGACAAGTATTGTTTTGTTTGGATTTTTTCTCAGGGATTTTTATGATTTGTTGATTCAAGAATTTGTGTAAAACAAAAGACATTGACTGAACTAAGCAAAATAGTTCAGAATGATTTGCCAGAAACTAGAGATTAATGAGCTACTCATGGTCATCATAATTCAAATAAAGAAAAATTAAGTAATATTTGATTGATAGCTAAATTCTGTTTTGAAACTTTTACATAGGTAGACAGTTACTGCCCTTGTCATTTATCATTCGAGATAAGCAACTAGACATTTCGATACACCGGTAACATTGATAAATCTTTCATTTTTATGACAAGTTAGTCCATCATTGAAAGGGTAAGTTTGTTTTTAAAGAATGTAACTCTGGCCAGCAAACATTGATGTTTTATCCAGCGTTGGTCCAACTTGTGTGCTGTTTATCCAGATACGTACAATCTGTCAATAGTGCTCAAATGAATTGAGTTACCTTTGTCACACTCCTAATCAGGACTTGTCACACTCCTAATCAGGACTTGTCACACTCCTAATCAGGACTTGTCACACTCCTAATCAGGACTTGTCACACTCCTAATCAGGACTTGTCACACTCCTAATCAGGACTTGTCACACTCCTAATCAGGACTTGTCACACTCCTAATCAGGACTTGTCACACTCCTAATCAGGACTTGTCACACTCCTAATCAGGACTTGTCACACTCCTAATCAGGACTTGTCACACTCCTAATCAGGACTTGTCACACTCCTAATCAGGACTTGTCACACTCCTAATCAGGACTTGTCACACTCCTAATCAGGACTTGTCACACTCCTAATCAGGACTTGTTACACTCCTAATCAGGACTTGTCACACTCCTAATCAGGACTTGTTACATGTTCTCAATGTATGTTTAAAAGATACAATTGGCTTGTTCAATATCTTAATGATAATTTTGTTCAAACTTTATCCAGAATGATTACATTTTGATTTTTTGACTTTGTTTTAATTTTTTTTTTTATTTCATATGTACCAATTAAAAAAAATCACATTTTAAAACTGTCTTGGATAAACCAGTGCCTGTTACTGTTCATCTGTAGATGAAGCATTAAAAGTGAACAAAAGAATTGAGTCTTACAAACTTGAATGAATGAGGTTTTCTAATAGATGGCATAGGTGAGGGTCCCACACTTTATATTTATTTATAATGGAGGGGCAGCTTGTTTGGCAAACAGCAGACTTGGAAGGTGCACTAAAATTGTTGACCCATGCTGCACCACTGATTCTAATCTCTGGGTGGCCTCTTTAAAATGTATTTCCTATGTGCTTGCGACTTATTAAAGATTTTTTAAATAAAATAATCGATTTCTCTACAAGTCTGTAAGTTACTGTAAAGCCTTATCTTTTGATAAAACAATCAATTTCTCTACCAGTCTAAGTTAGTTTGGGGCCCTATCTTTTGATAAAACAATCAATTTCTCTACAAGTTCAAGTCTCTTTATGATTGTTACTTTACTTTAAGCTGTTGTTTGAGAGTAAGATTTCTCTTTTCCCGGTGATTTGTTTATCTAAGTTTAAGATAATATATGCTATTTAAAACATTTTATTAACTGATTTAAACTATATGCACGCCGCTAGATGGCGTTTGAGTTTACATTGATTAACCCATTGAAAAAGACTTTAAAAATGTAAAAATATCTGTCATCCGTTCATTTGTCCGTCAGTCACCCGATCTCTTGCAGCAGTATGGTAAAGCATCAATAACATTGTCAGTATTGTAATCAAACGCTTGGCGTACTGAAAGGTCTTGAACCACCCTGTGTCCACACATCTAAGTTCATGTTTACCAAGACGTCAACCAAACGACGCACTTGCTTTCCTCAAACATTTGGCCAGGATTTAATGACCAGAAAGCATTTACTCTAGTTAATCTAGGGGTGACGTGTGGTTTTTTCAAAAAAAGTTTCGGAAGATGTAAAAGAAACAAAATGAATCGGCACGCGTTTCTGTTCAAACAACTCGATGAATCTGCACGTGTTTCTGTTTAAATAACTCCATGAATCTGCACGTGTTTCTGTTCAAATAACTCAATGAATCTGCACGTGTTTCTGTTCAAATAACTCGATGAATCTGCACGTGTTTCTGTTCAAATAACTCGATGAATCTGCACGTGTTTCTGTTCAAATAACTCGATGAATCTGCACGTGTTTCTGTTCAAATAACTCGATGAATCTGCACGTGTTTCTGTTCAAATAACTCGATGAATCTGCACGTGTTTCTGTTCAAATAACTCGATGAATCTGCACGTGTTTCTGTTCAAATAACTCGATGAATCTGCACGTGTTTCTGTTCAAATAACTCGATGAATCTGCACGTGTTTCTGTTCAAATAACTCGATGAATCTGCACGTGTTTCTGTTCAAATAACTCGATGAATCTGCACGTGTTTCTGTTCAAATAACTCGATGAATCTGCACGTGTTTCTGTTCAAATAACTCGATGAATCTGCACGTGTTTCTGTTCAAATAACTCGATGAATCTGCACGTGTTTCTGTTCAAATAACTCGATGAATCTGCACGTGTTTCTGTTCAAATAACTCGATGAATCTGCACGTGTTTCTGTTCAAATAACTCGATGAATCTGCACGTGTTTCTGTTCAAATAACTCGATGAATCTGCACGTGTTTCTGTTCAAATAACTCGATGAATCTGCACGTGTTTCTGTTCAAATAACTCGATGAATCTGCACGTGTTTCTGTTCAAATAACTCGATGAATCTGCACGTGTTTCTGTTCAAATAACTCGATGAATCTGCACGTGTTTCTGTTCAAATAACTCGATGAATCTGCACGTGTTTCTGTTCAAATAACTCAATGAATCTGCACGTGTTTCTGTTCAAATAACTCAATGAATCTTTACGTGTTTCTGTTCAAATAACTCGATGAATCTGCACGTGTTTCTGTTCAAATAACTCAATGAATCTGCACGTGTTTCTGTTCAAATAATTCGATGAATCTGCACGTGTTTCTGTTCAAATAACTCAATGAATCTGCACGTGTTTCTGTTCAAATAACTCGATGAATCTGCACGTGTTTCTGTTCAAATAACTCGATGAATCTGCACGTGTTTCTGTTCAAATAACTCGATAAATCTGAACGTGTTTCTGTTTAAATAACTCTATGAATCTGCACGTGTTTCTGTGCAAATAACTCGATGAATCTGCACGTGTTTCTGTTCAAATAACTCAATGAATCTGCAAGTGTTTCTGTTCAAATAACTCGATGAAGCTGCACTTGTTTCTGTTCAAATAACTCAATGAATCTGCAAGTGTTTCTGTTCAAATAACTCAATAAATCTGCACGTGTTTCTGTTCAAATAACTCAATGAATCTGCACGTGTTTCTGTTCAAATAACTCAATGAATCTGCACGTGTTTCTGTTCAAATAACTCAATGAATCTGCACGTGTTTCTGTTCAAATAACTCAATGAATCTGCACGTGTTTCTGTTCAAACAACTCAATGAATCTGCAAGTGTTTCTGTTCAAATAACTCAATGAATCTGCACGTGTTTCTGTTCAAATAACTCAATGAATCTGCACGTGTTTCTGTTTAAATAACTCGATGAATCTGCACGTGTTTCTGTTCAAATAACTCAATGAATCTGCACGTGTTTCTGTTCAAATAACTCAATGAATCTGCACGTGTTTCTGTTCAAATAACTCGATGAATCTGCACGTGTTTCTGTTCAAATAACTCAATGCTTATTATGGAGAATTAACAGTACAAGTAAATTATAGATATTTTAAAGATTTATAAAAATATATATGTAAAATTTAAGGGAAACAAAACTAGCCTTGAAGTCCATTTTAATCTGTCCCAGCCCACGACTTGTACCAATATGTAAATGAATTATACCCATATGTCAGTGACTTGTACCATACGTCCACGACGTGTACCTATATGACCACGAGCTGTACTCATATCCACGACTTGTACCCATAAGTCCATGACTTGTATATCCACGACTAGTACCCATATGTCCATGAATTATACCCATATGATCACGAGTTTTGCCCATCTGTCCATGACTTCTACCCATATGTCAATATCTTGTACTCATATGTACACCAACAACTCCACCACCACATCAAAGTATTCCACTGATCCACCAAACGACTCCACCATCAAGTCATGATTCTCCTCCACTACAAAGTCACATTATCACTCGACTGATCCACCTACTACATTCTTCCACAACAAGAAATCATGTTCCCACCAACTGACATCTGACCCCCTCCTCCCCACCACACCCACCCTCTCTATGAACATAACTTCACGTTTCTACACGTCGCGGTACTGACCAGCCCCAACCATGTCATCCCCCCCCCCACGCCCTAACTATCTTACCCCACGCCCCAAACAAACTAACCCCAGTTCCCCCATACACGTATTCCATTGTCTCACAGTGCGTCTCAACGGACCGTCCTGCCGTCATTATGTCAACATGGTCCAAGCGTCCTTAGATAAACCCCATGAGTTTTCTATTAAATATCCCCTAGTGGCCATCCTTTGTGATTAAAACCAGGCCATCTAATGGCATTCTGAGTTGAGTTTCAAATTCAAAGAATGAAAACTGGTTTTAGCTGAAAGTTGATTCCAAGGGCTAATGGGAAAGCTGCACAGAATACGGCCTGAGACATTTTATCTGTTCAACGCACGGAGAGAAAATCATGCGCGCACACACACACGCTCACACTCTCTCACACACACACTTGTACACACCACACAACTGTTGAGACAAGAATAAGTTCCTATAAAATGAGAAATAACTCAAAGAAATAGAATGGTTTCAGAGATGACATTTTTTAAGAGTAGTTTTTGTGGAGTAATTGAAACAGAATTTGTAAAGTGACTCTTGTTTTTTGAATGACAGCACCATGTTGGTCTTGTAAGTTGGGTGTTGATGGAAACTAACAAGAGCATTTGTTGGAAAGTTCTGAGAAAAGTTTTATGTGGTATGAAAACTAATTTACAATGAACATCTAGGGGCTCACGGATTAACCCTTCAAGTTCAAGTGTTTGATGATTGTATAGTGGTAATGGTTTAATGTTTATATGTGGATGTTCGTTTGCTAGTTTGTATGTTGATGTTGGTTTGATGTTTGTATGTTGATGTTTGTATGTTAATCGTGGCTTGATGTTTACATGTTGATGTTGGTTGGTTTGTATGTTGATGTTGGTTGGTTTGATAGTAATTATGTAGATGTTGGTTTGATGTTGGTATGTTGATGTTGGTTTGATGTTGGTATGTTGATGTTGGTATGTTGATGTTTGCTTGATGTTGGTATGTTGATGTTTGCTTGATGTTGGTATGTTGATGTTGGTTTGATGTTGGTATGTTGATGTTGGTTTGATGTTGGTATGTTGATGTTTGCTTGATGTTGGTATGTTGATGTTTGCTTGATGTTGGTATGTTGATGTTTGCTTGATGTTGGTATGTTGATGTTTGTTTGATAGTTTGTTGTATGTTGATGTTGGTTTGATGTTGGTATGTTGATGTTGGTTTGATGTTGGTATGTTGATGTTGGTTTGATGTTTGTATGTTGATGTTTGTTTGTATGTTGATGTTGGTTTGATGTTGGTATGTTGATGTTTGTTTGATAGTTTGTATGTATATGTTGGTTTGATGTTTGTATGTTGATGTTTGTTTGATAGTTTGTTGTATGTTGATGTTGGTTTGATGTTGGTATGTTGATGTTGGTTTGATGTTGGTATGTTGATGTTGGTTTGATGTTTGTATGTTGATGTTTGTTTGATAGTTTGTATGTTGATGTTGGTTTGATGTTGGTATGTTGATGTTGGTTTGATGTTGGTCATTGGTATGTTGATGTTGGTTTGATGTTGGTATGTTGATGTTGGTTTGATGTTTGTATGTTGATTTTGGCTTGATGTTGGTATGTTGATGTTGGTTTGATGTTGGTATGTTGATGTTGATTTTTTAAAACTACGTCATTGTTAGAGAAAATAACAATATTTAATTAACGCATTTTAATGATTGTGAATGAGATGACACGTTGCAAACCGTCTAAGAGTTCACCCAAATCACCAAAGTAATATCAACGAATTCTTTTAATGACAATGACACTGTGGCATCTAGGTTGTGTTCTTGTCATCAGTTCAATTTACGACAACGCATGCGCAACTGGAAAGTTGCGTTCCGCCGTCGCCGGAGTGACGTCATGCAACAGCAACACAGATTTCTGGAAATATGAAGAGCTGTCAGAACCAGAGGGTGTCCACAGAGTTTTGAAGTGTGCCATGGCGTGTCAGAAATATGACAGTTGTGTGTTGGCTGTGTTCATCACCAGAGACGCGACAACAAGATGTTTGCTGTTTAAACAACGAACTGATGCCGCAGGTAAGCTGGGTTTGAACTATGACCAGTGGCTATCAACACGGTCGTATCACTGTAGCGAAAAGTTATTAAGGTTTTGTATACAAAGTTTGTCATCAGTCATCAAGTGCCAACTTGTCAAGCACTCTCACACCCTGGTCAGCAGCTATCTACTATATCAAGTGCAGTGTGAAGAAATGTATGTAGGTATGTTTTTAATTGTATTTAACTAAACCTATAAGCATCATTAAAAAAAAACAATGGACCGTAACCTAATTGACATGGTTAATATGGTTACCGGAAATTTGTTTGAAAGAAAATTCGTCGAAGGAAAATAAATAGACGGAAATTTGATAGGATGGAAATTCGGTCAGTAAAACAAAATAATTGGTTCAAACAGAAATATGACGCAAAATTTTCACGTGTGAACTGAAAAAAAGATTTGACCAACTTTCCGTTTGATCAAATTTCCGTTGATCAATTTTCCGTCGACGACATTTCTTTTAACAAATTTCCGGATACGGTTTTGTTTTACCTGCTGGTCCAAACAAGGAGGTGTTCCTGGACGACTCGTTCAAACTCAATTGGCAACACAAATTGTAAATGAAGAATTATAAATGTAGAAAGTTAACAATATTTTTTTCGAATAATCTAAAATGGGCACCCCATATAAACAAAATTTAAAAAAAAAGCCAACTCCACACTTGGTTTCATTCGAAGAAATCTGCGCCACTGCCCAACTTCCTGCAAAATAAATGCCTATCTCGCACTCGTCCGTCCGCTACTAGAATATGGTGGGATCATCTGGGACCCATAACTAAAGCAAGACGTGGACAAAATGGAGCGAATACAACGCAACGCAGTGCGCTTCATCACAAGTTACTACAATCGACCACTCCTGGCTTCGTCACTGAGCTCTTAAAAAGATTTGACATCCCCTCCCTCAAAGACAATAATTGCTTGGAACCAACTGGACAATGCCGCCGTGGACTCGACATCAATCGAGAGTTTCAAGGCTGCCCTGGCACCCGCTAGGAGCCATTAGGACGGCCGCATCGTTTCCTAAACCGTTGCACGTATGCCAGTACATGGTTGCAGCAACGTAGTCTATCAGAATCAGAAATAAATTATTTTCCAATGGCTTTGCGCTCTGGCAAGGCTTTATCACGGCCCTTCAAGATACGTTATTTTTGGTGTGAGCATTTTAAATAGACTTTATGCAGAACGGTGCGCTTTCAACGAAGTGTTTCCTGTGCGCTTTCAAAGAAGTGTTTCCTGTGCGCTTTCAAAGAAGTGTTTCCTGTGCGCTTTCAAAGAAGTGTTTCCTGTGCGCTTTCAAAGAAGTGCTTTCAAAGAAGTGTTTCCTGTGCGCTTTCAAAGAAGTGTTTCCTGTGCGCTTTCAAAGAAGTGTTTTCTGTGCGCTTTCAAAGAAGTGTTTCCTGTGCGCTTTCAAAGAAGTGTTTCCTGTGCGCTTTCAAAGATATGTTTTCTGTGTGCTTTCAAAGAAGCGCTTTCAAAGAAGTGTTTTCTGTGCGCTTTCAAAGAAGTGTTTTCTGTGCGCTTTCAAAGAAGTGTTTCCTGTGCGCTTTCAAAGAAGTGTTTCCTGTGCGCTTTCAAATTTGCACTGAAAGAACGTTTGTTAAAATTATTTTTCGCACAATTTTCTATAAATAAAAGGAAATACATGTAGAATGTTGCTTTTTTTCGAAAATACATTTCATGATCATGGGGAAAAAAATGAATGGTTGGACTTTTGGTAAGAACACCTTTAAAGTACAGGGCGTGAGAAAAGTGAGCCAAACGGATCGTACACATAGTGAAAGCGGCAGGGGCTTCATTTTGTTACATAGTGTTATATGGGGGCCGGGGGGGGGGCTAGAGAGCAATTTAAAAGACATTTCTTTTTTAAAGAATATTTTTTAAATTAGTTCTGCTTTTTATGTCCAAATTACGAAATTGGCTTAAATTATTTTTTAAAAACCAAAATATAATTTTTTGCTAACAAAAATTAGTAAATTTTTTGTACAAAACAATTAAAGCTTTTTGCTGGAAGTTTGCTGGTTCCTGCCTGTGTTTGGAATGTATTCGGTTTTAAATGAGGATGGGCTTTGTGGTTGCTAGATATGTTTTATAATATCATCTGAAAGGAGGTGGGGTAAATGGAAATGTTATATGACGTTATAAGGGTTTGGGGTGGTAACAATATCACCCTGGGTGCATGGGACTCGTTAACCTTGGACGGCAACTCATTTAAGAGAAGTAAACTCTGGATTAAAAAAAAAGGAATCAGAATGATCACTAATTTATCGTGGGCCGTCAAATATAAGGGGGGGGGGGTGTGCGGAATTATATAAGGCATCCTTCCGTGATGGAGTTGTTATGTACACTTAAAAAAAAAATGTCTGACTAGGCCGATCCTGGAATGGCAATGTCGGCTGCATTTCTCACAGGACAATCTTGACTTACGGTTAGATTTGGCCTTCCGTATTGTTCTTTTGGTTACAAGAAATTCGTTTGACGCATCGTCTTCCTTTTTGACCCCTTCAGACGCTGCTGTTCGCAGACTTTCTTCTGAGTGCAATGTTAAGACGGCATCGTCAGTGAACATCAGTTCACGAATTAGTTCCTTTTAAACCTTGGTCTGTGCACGCAAGGTGGCGATATTGAACAGCCTACCATCAACATAAAAGATTGGGGGGGGGGGGGGGGGGAGGGGGGGGGGGATTGCAAATTTAATTAATGTTTATTAACAAGAGTTTACAATCAGGCTTGCCAGAGTTTTAAGGGCTGATACCGATCCTATGGTTGTAAACGGAACAAGTGGAGTACCTATGAGGGGGTGAAAGGTTTGATAGCCCCGAGGGGCACTTTTCAAAATGCTAATCACCAACAATTTATTAAATAGGTGTATGTATAGGGCGCAATTTCAGGATTTCGAACCGGGCGAGATTTAGTCAAGGTAAGTCACGTGGTGTGATCAATTTGGTGAGTTGAGGCTGAGCGAGATTTAGTCAAGGTAAGTCACGTGGTATGTTTGGTGTAATGAGTTGAGGCTGAGCGAGATTTAGTCAAGGTAAGTCACGTGGTGTGATCAATTTGGTGAGTTGGGGCTGGACGAGATTTAGTAAGGGTAAGTCACGTGGTATGTTTATTTTGGTGACTTCAAGCTGGGCGAGATTTAGTCAAGGTAAGTCACGTGGTATGTTTGGTTTAATGAGTTGAGGCTGAGCGAGATTTAGTCAAGGTAAGTCACGTGGTATGTTTAGTTTGTTGCTAATATTGTCAATAAGGCTTTATTCTATACTCACAGAATAGTGCAGTTTAACAATAATAATAGAAGATATGAAATAATTTGGTTTGAACAAAAGATGCTCGCTGTTTAAGCAAACCTATTTTTTAACTATACTGAAATATATGTTGTTAATTTGAAAAAATTACATGTGTGCTATAACTATAAGGTTACATGCTGGGAGACTGATTATTAAACTTTTTTTTTTTTACTGTAATTGCTTGTTGCGTTATCAGAAGTAACTAAAATGATAAAGTGCCGTTACTTACAGTTATCAGAAGTAACTAAAATGAGATTGTGCACTGACTTACAGTTATCAGAAGTAAATAAAATGAGGTTGTGCACTGACTAACAGTTATCAGAAGTAAATGAAATGAGATTGTGCTCTGACTGACAGTTATTAGAAGTAAACAAAATGAGATTGTGCCCTGACTTACAGTTATGAGAAGTAAATAAAATGAGGTTGTGCACTGACTTACAGTTATCAGAAGTAAATAAAATGAGATTGTGCTCTGACTGACAGTTATTAGAAGTAAGTAAAATGAGATTGTGCACTGACTTACAGTTATCAGAAGTAAATAAAATGATATAGTGCCCTGACTTACAGTTAAGAGGAGTAAATAAAATGAGATTGGGCTCTGACTTACAGTTATCAGAAGTAAATAAAATGAGATTGGGCTCTGACTTACAGTTATCAGAAGTAAATAAAATGAGATTGTGCCCTGACTTACAGTTATCAGAAGTAAATAAAATGATACAGTGCTCTTACATGCAGTGATCAGAAATAACTAAAATGAGATAGTGCCCTGACTTACAGTTTCAGAAATTAAGAAAATATTTAACAGTGAATTCATTTTCTCACCAGCCTCACCTCCACCAAGTTCTACGACTACGAAGTCACCAAAAAGGAATTCTAACTTCTTTGAATGGTTCATGTCGTATGCGGCTAATGCTACGTGGACCATATCCAACGGGACGATTTCTTCCTGGGCCAACACCATGCTGTTAAACGGTACACAGTGGTCTGGGACAGGTCAGGACTATCAAGGGCAGACAAATAACAACCAAGGAATACAAGAGCCCACAACGCCAAGCATTGAAGACTACCGAAGTAGTCAACGTTGTAAAGTTATCAAATTTAGAATCTAGACATAACTTCGAATTTACTGTTATTTACATCTGAATTTAAAAACACAAAACATTAAGTCTTATTAACAAAGGTTTCTTTCGAAAATGAACAACAAATCTTAATTCACATAATTCAATAAAATAAATAAAACTCTTCTAGGTAAATATATATCTTTGGTTGTAAGTTACTCAATTTTTATAAAATTTACTGGAATATACAAAATGTTAACAATGTTAATCTTAATAATAATTTCTGCCATCACGACAACTTTTGTCACAAATAACTACTAATAAAATCGTTTGAAAACGCTAACAAGGGTTATTCTGATGATCATAAGGGATTGTGTGACGATAATAAGGGAGAATATGAAAGGGAATTTCAGATTAGACGAGGCCTAAGTCAAGAAGACTCACTGTCTTGTATGCTAACATGTACCCATTTTCACAAATCTAAATGAAAACTAAGTCCCAGATGGGCTAAGAGAATTCACTGAATGGCTGTTTTTTTCACTAGTGAAGTAATTTAATGTAGATGTCTTGTGCTCAAATTGTTGTATTTATGTACCGAAAATGTACAATGCAATCGAAAAAAAAAATTCCATTTGTTTGGATCAATAAAAGAATCTTATCTTATCTTATCTTATTAGAGAGAGTTATAAGAAGCATACATATTGACACCTGAGGAACAATAACAGGACACTTTCTGAGGGAAACCCAAGACCCCCAACCAATGGGCACTCTCGACAATCAACCCCTTCTGTATCCTGCATATGCTAATGACATAGCACTGTTAAGGAAAAATAGTAAAGACATATCAAAAGCCGTACTGAATTAGAAAACGTATCACTACAAGCAGGGTGGGAAGTTAACAACCAAAAAATAATTACCATGACTATGATAGGAGAAGAACAGACAGAAGCCATTAAAATTAGAAACCAGACTTCTGAAAAAGTAAATCAATTCAAATACCTAGGTCTTTATTTAAAGAAAGGAACGAATCTACTAACGGAAATAAAGAAAGAATATCAGCCGGAAACAGGTCAGCAAATACTCAAAGTAAAAACATCACAAGAAAAACAAAGAAAACTATTTATAAAACTGTAATCAGACCTGTTGTTGGGCATAGGAGAAGGACCCACAAAGGATGAATATGGATGGAGAATACGAACCAACCAGGAGTTGTATAGACTAAATCAGGATCCTTCGATAGTAGCAGAAATAAAAAAGGTTGGGCAGGACACTTAGAGAGAATGCCAAATGACACAGGGGTGAAGAAGGTACATCACCAAAAACCAAGCGGAAAATGGCTCAAAGACAGACCTAGGCTTAGATAGTTGGATGATGTGGGAGAAGATCTACAGCAGCTGGGAAGCCAAGAATGGAAAAGAAATGCATTAGTTAGGTCTGAGTGGAAGGAAGTAGTGAGGCAGGCCCTAAACCTACATGGGCTGTAGCGCTGCAGGGAGGGATGGATTGAATTTCCTTTGACTACTTTAGTTATTTCAGTTGAACAATTTCATGATAGTAATTCTTGTTCATTGAACATGCACACTTATACCACTTCTCTTTATATAAATCTTTATAGGAACCAATACATATACTCAGATCTCTCCCTAGTTATATATTCAGATCTCTCCCTAGTTATATATTCAGATCTCTCCCTAGTTATATATTCAGATCACTCCCTAGTTATATATTCAGATCTCTCCCTAGTTATATATTCAGATCTCTCCCTAGTTATATATACAGATCTCTCCTTAGTTATTTATTCAGATCCCTCATTAGTTATATATTCAGAACCCTCCTTAGTTATATATTGAGATCCCTCCCTAGTTATATATTCAGATTACTCCCTAGTTATGTATTAAAATTCCTCACTAGTTATATTCCCATTCCTCCCTAGTTATATATATATATATATATATATATATATATATATGTATATATATATATATATATATATATATATATATATATATATATATATATATATATATATATATATATATATATATACACATATATCCAGATCCCATACTTTGTATCAATAAATCACTTCCAGCCATTAACAGTAATAGACATAAACTGGTTCAAGAGAGGGGAAATTAATGACCATGAAATGTGGACGTTGACTTCTCAAATGTTTACAACTGTGACGTATGCGCTCAAAGTGGGAAGCTTTAAATACAAGTAAATACAATCTTTTTACTGTGCACAGATCAAAGAGCTCAATTCAATTTTAACACACAGACAAAATCACTGAGCTCAATACGAACTTGATAAAAAGACAATAACCTTGAGCTCAATAAAAACTTAATACACATACAACACACCTGAGATCAATACAAACTTAATACACATACAACACACCTGAGATCAATACAAACTTAATACACATACAACACACCCGAGATCAATAATGTAAGGAAACCTTGCTTACTCTCTAGCTAAACTTCATCTAGATCTGGTACTCAATAAGGAAACAACTCCGGTGATACATTTGATCATTAAACACGTGTTCTTTATTGGCTGTCACTTGCTTACACTTTCACTCGTCTCACAACTCTGACTTCTCCCTCTATCTAGTTCTCAGTCCGGCCGCGCTCTCCTTCGTCCCGTCCAGAGATCCCTATTTATACCTCCCCGTCCCATAGTTCCTCTCCCAGTCCAGGCGCCAGGTCTAGACGTCCCAGGTAAATGCCCTGGTCAGACGGCTTGATCCGTCGATCGTGATCCCTGGTCAGCTGGCGCCGGCTGTACCTGTCAGATGGTGTCAGACGGCCGTTAATCCCTAGTCAGACGCCCCCGGCCGAACTCTCCACAATACAAACTTAATACACATAAAACACACCTGAGATCAATACAAACTTAATACACAGACAACACACCTGAGATCAATACAAACTTAATACACATACAACACACCTGAGATCAATACAAACTTAATACACAGACAACACACCTGAGATCAATACAAACTTAATACACAGACAACACACCTGAGATCAATGAAAACTTAATACACATACAACACACCTGAGATCAATACAAACTTAATACACATACAACACACCTGAGATCAATACAAACTTAATACACATACAACACACCTGAGATCAATACAAACTTAATACACATACAACACACCTGAGATCAATGAAAACTTAATACACATACAACACACCTGAGATCAATACAAACTTAATACACAGACAACACACCTGAGATCAATACAAACTTAATACACATACAACACACCTGAGATCAATACAAACTTAATACACAGACAACACACCTGAGATCAATACAAACTTAATACACAGACAACACACCTGAGATCAATGAAAACTTAATACACATACAACACACCTGAGATCAATACAAACTTAATACACATACAACACACCTGAGATCAATACAAACTTAATACACATACAACACACCTGAGATCAATACAAACTTAATACACATACAACACACCTGAGATCAATGAAAACTTAATACACATACAACACACCTGAGATCAATACAAACTAAACACACAGACAACACACCTGGACTCCATACCAACCAAAGACACAGATTACAGCCTTGTTTAGTTCATAGAAAGGAAACAAAAAAGTTTGCTTAAATTAATGTAATTCTAATTTTGAGAATCCCCCCCCCCCCACACACACACACTTTTTTTGTTACTCTCCGGGTCAGAGTTTCCATCTGTAAGATGTACAATAACATCCTGTTGGATATGTGTGCCTGAAAATAAATCCTTTACGTTCACGGGCAGACGACCATCAGTGGTCGTGTGGTACTCAAGTAAATCTGATGATCAAGGGGAGGCAGTACGGGGACTCTCAGATCGTCCAGGGGAGGCAGTACGGGGACTCTCAGATCGTCCAGGGGAGGAAAACGGGATTTTCAGATCATCAAGAGGAAAGTTTACGGGGACTCTCAGGGATCCAGGGGAAGCAATGCAGAAACAGATGATCCAGGGGAGGCAATACATAAACATATGATTTAGGGGAGGAGATACAGAAACAAATGTTATAAGGGTGGCGAGACAGAAGCCGATGATCCACGGGAGGCTATACAGAAACAGATGGTCCAATGTAAAAACCACGTGTTGGTGGGCGGAAACAGAACTGAAAGTTACATGAAATTAATTTTCATTTGTACTAACCACAGTTTATTTACCCTCTAATACATGGTTTCTAGAGCATTTCATTCACGATGTCTTATAGGAAAATCTGCTCAATTTTGAAAGTAAGGCTTAGCATGAAAGTCAGCCTTAGTTTGGGAAGTCAGCCTTAGTATGAAAGTCAGCCTTAGTTTGGGAAGTCAGCCTTAGTATGAAAGTCAGCCTTAGTTTGAGAGTCAGCGTTAGTTTGGGAAGTCAGCCTTAGTTTGGGAAGTCAGCCTTAGTATGAAAGTCAGCCTTAGTTTGAGAGTCAGCCTTAGTTTGGGAAGTCACCCTTAGTATGAAAGTCAGCCTTAGTTTGGGAAGTCAGCCTTAGCATGAAAGTCAGCCTTAGTTTGAGAGTCAGCCTTAGTTTGAGAGGCAGCCTTAGTTTGGGAAGTCAGCCTTAGTATGAAAGTCAGCCTTAGTTTGAGAGTCAGCCTTAGTTTGGAAAGTCAGCCTTAGCATGAAAGTCAGCCTTAGTTTGAGAGTCAGCCTTAGTTTGGGAAGTCAGCCTTAGTATGAAAGTCAGCCTTAGTTTGAGAGTCAGCGTTAGTTTGGGAAGTCAGCCTTAGCATGAAAGTCAGCCTTAGTTTGGGAAGTCAGCCTTAGTATGAAAGTCAGCCTTAGTTTGGGAAGTCAGCCTTAGCATGAAAGTCAGCCTTAGTTTGAGAGTCAGCCTTATTATGAAAGTCAGCCTTAGTATGAAAGTCAGCCTTAGTTTGAGAGTCAGCCTTATTTTGGGAAGTCAGCCTTAGTATGAAAGTCAGCCTTAGTATGAAAGTCAGCCTTAGTTTGAGAGTCAGCCTTAGTTTGGGAAGTCAGCCTTAGTATAAAAATCAGCCTTTGTTTGAGAGTTAGCCTTAGTTTGGGAAGTCAGCCTTAGCATGAAAGTCAGCCTTAGTTTGAGAGTCAGCCCTAGTTTGGGAAGTCAGCCTTAGTATAAAAATCAGCCTTTGTTTGAGAGTTAGCCTTAGTTTGGGAAGTCAGCCTTAGCATGAAAGTCAGCCTTAGTTTGGGAAGTCAGCCTTAGCATGAAATTCAGCCTTAGTTTGAGAGTCAGCCTTAGTTTGGGAAGTCAGCCTTAGTATGAAAGTCAGCATTAGTTTTCAATTTCAGCTCAGT